CATTATGTTGTGATGTTATATTATACTATTTGTATACGATGCTCATTAAACAGTCAAAAATCATTATGTTGTGATGTTATATTATACTGTTTGTATACGGTGCTCATTAAACAATTAAAAATCATTATGTTGTGATGTTATATTATACTGTTTGTATACGGTGCTCATTAAACAATCAAAAATCATTATGTTGTGATGTTATATTATACTGTTTGTATACGGTGCTCATTAAATTACTTTGCCACAATATTTCAAGTTAAATTCTTACTGAGGGAGTATTTCACTGAGGGAGTATTTCTAGGAAATGTAATTTCTATATATATATTATTTAGATTGTTTTTATTTGCTTTTGATATTTGAAATCGTTCAGTCCACTTGTTGGATTCCTTCTTCTTTCTTCTACATTACCTTTACATTTCTACTACTAGCGAAAGCTGGTTGTGGCGTAGTAGTTGGCGTTTCGGATTGCATATCTTAAAGTTCGAGTCGCTGAACACGCTCCCCAATTATATCTGTGGACTCGTTATAAAGGTGGAAGTCAATTTATTTAACTGGCGGGTACTGCCGACTGATTGCCCTCCTTCTAAATACCAGTTCAAAGTTACGGGCTTTTATGTCTAACTTTTACAACATCTTACTCGGTCACTCAGACCATACCGCTTAGGTTGAAAATACCAAATAGTATACTATTAAAGAATTATGCTTTACACACAAAAATATTTCTCAGATGCCTGGATTCCGATCTACCAACCAGTATAGATTGTTCAAACATATTTAGTTTAAACAAATTAGTTTAATCACGAGTTTGGTATATGATATATAGACATATGTATAAAAAATTGAAGATTTGATGATCTGAGCTCCGGCCATTCATGGCTTTTAGAAAATTATATCTTTTATTCCACTTATACTGACTTTTATCTATATTTTCTTCTCACATATGACTATGTCTTATGCATCCCGATGGCTCAGTTATAAGTCTGAGAGCTTGTGATGCTAAAATTTTGGTTTCGATACCCACGATACCACAGACAGCCCAATGGGTAGCTTTGTGTTTAACAACAAAACAAACAAACCATATCTTAAGTGGACAATAAGTGGATGATATACCTTGGGCAATTTTTTGTATACACCTGTTCTGAGGTATGTAATTGAACTTCTGCAGGTTTGTTGCAATACATTATTTATACTCTTAACAAAACCATTAAAACAACTCAGTTTTTATCACTAATTATATTGTTACGTCTCTGTTTGTTAATTAATTTTCCGTAAATTCGTTCCGACGAAGCTTTAGCGACACAAGTCCTTTCTTAAATAAAACTGGTTTATTCTTTCCGAATACAACTTTACGATACACTTAATTTCAACAGTCGCTCTATAACAACGCTATAACTCACGTCTCACGTGGCCAACAATATTTTATCCGCATGCATTCAATTACTCATTACCTCCCCGTCGCTTCGTGGCCGGTCTTATATATACAAGACTACACTATATCTAGAATTTGTTTGTTTGTAATTAAGCACAAAGCTACATAAAGGGCTATCTGTGCTCTGCCCACCACGGGTATCGAAACCCGGATTCTAGCGTTGTAAGTCCGCAGACATACCGCTGTGCTACTGGGGGCCTATATCTAGAAGGATCACGAGATTTAAGGAAAAAACGTGAAAGTTAGAGAATGACGTGACGTGACCTCGATGTCGCAACAATATGCTGTCTGTGTAACATCATTTGTCAACTGATTCACATAACTATCAACTTTATTTTTATTGCTATACCAAATTTGGACTTACTTTGATTATTTGCTTTTGTTGCTCTTTATAAAAAACTGAATTAATTGTCATTGCTATGAAATTTAAATGTAACAAATTTTGTTTTTCAGTTGAAACAATAAAGTATTAAAACTGAGGGCCTATCAGGCTAAAATTAGGGTTTAATACCCTCGGTGGGCAAAGGACAGATAACCCATGGCGTAGCTTTGTGTTTATCAATAAAGAAACAACAATAGTCAGCACTGGAAGGCTTGCTCACAAAGTTTAAAACCCGAAACTATTTGCTATTTTTCAAAAGCAATCGAGTTTTCATCCTCATTTTTATTTCTATGAAACAGTATATTAAAACAATTAGAATTACATTTTAGACTTTATTAAACAGGACACCAAACTGCGTCGTAAATTTATTTTAAGATATCAACTTTAAAAAAATCACAGAAAAGAAAAGTTATTAAAAGTTCACCATAAGCTCAACGTTTTGAGTTTTTATTGTTTGTCTTATTTGAAGTTCTATGTCTTACGTCTATGAGCAATCAGTAAACTATTCTTTACTGACACGCTTTGGCTTGATCGTAGCGGTTCTTTAAGTAACCAATATAGTTTTGAAGTACGTTTTTTAATTAAGTTGCTTCAAGTTTAAAATAGCTAAAAATCATATACTTATAATTAAAATATTTGGTATATTGATAAAATCGAAAATCAAAGATAATTTCATGAACCTCTATGTTATCTTAAGAAAACATATATATTTAATACATTATGAAACTTAACATAACTCATTACAAATACCCAAGTTACTCTGACCGTGTGTATTAAAAATTCAGAATCTGTCAGACTAGTGTATTTTTTGTATGCAGAAATCAGTGGAAGGTAATCACAAGTTGTCCTTGAAATAACCTTCAGAAATAATGCCTTCCGGCCAAATAAGCATAGCAAGTTACAATGGAACCCTTAACGTAAATCGTAGCATTTAAAATATCACAGTTACAATATCTACAAGAACGTTTAAGTAGGATAACTTAAAAGTTCAAAACTTTGTGCTTTGCCACGCATGGAAATAAAACTTGAATCAGCACTTTATACTTACCTCTGAATCGTTGGAGGGCAGTTTAAAAAGTTCGGGTAAGAATTTGTATCACTGAATATATGAATTTTTCATATAATGCTGTAGTATATAACACTAAAGTACTAAAAGCTAATAGTAATAGTAATATCGTCGTTTGGCTGGTATTGACTGATTTTCACCTCTGAACAACATATTTATGTGAGATCAATAAAGTCCTGCCATAAACCATATCTTTATATTATAATAAAAGTTGCGTTTGTGTATATATATATATACGGAAGAAATATTTGTTTCATTATTAATATATTTGTAGCAATTTTACTTGAGGTGACACCCTAACACTCATATTAAAATTGTCTTAAATTTGGGAGTAGATTTTCTATTGTTGAGTGCCATGTTCTATGGTTGAGTGTCTTTTGGCACTCAACTATAGAACATGACACTTAACTATAGAACATCTGACTTCCCATCACTCTTTTCTATCTTTTCTCGGATTAAATTATTCTTAAAATGTTTTTTTTACTGATGTATAATAACTTGATATTTACATATGAACTATATTATTAACTTGTTAGAATAAGTTGAAATATAATATCCAACTCATCAAAATAAGCTTTTACTTATAAGATGCAATGACTCTCAACAAGCAAGAATATATATATTTTGGTAGTTATGGCACTCACCTCACAATCTGAAGATCGGGGTTCGAATCTTATCACTGAATACGCTCGCCCTTTCAGCCGTGAGGGCGTTATTATGTTACGATCAATCATTATTCGTTGGTAAAGAGTACCTTTGGCAATTGGTGGTATTGACTAACTATCTTCCTTCTAAACTATCATTTCAAAATAAAGGACGACTAACGCATTTCTCTTGTTATTTCAAATGTAATAAATTTAGCAGATAACTGACCAATAAATTTATGTTTAGTATAACAGAAATTCGTTACAGCCTTACCAATAAGCATATTATTTAGAACTGAAGTTACCAAGATGTTGAAAGCTATAAATAATTCCCGCTTTCCTAAAGTTAGTAGAGATTGAAACATATTTCGGGCCTTATGTTTTATATATAGATGTATTTTGAACTGTTTATCACAACTTTCTGCTATATTCGAACACTTATGCTGGTATTCACTTAATCTTGCTATTACTTAGTAACCCTAACAAAATGGATATATTATATTATTTATTTCCTAATGCTATCGTAAAAATGGTAGATTTTCTGTTCCTAAAATCATCCTTGTACTTCAATTTATTGGAGCCTAGCAGTATCTCTGACCTTTTCCTTATCTGTTTATTGGGGTTTATTCTGTCCAATCACAGTTCGTTGTAGAGCTAAGATCTAACTTATTAGAAGTACTCGATGGAACATGCGCTGATCCCTAATGATCCAATGCGCTGCGTGCATTTTAAAGTAAAGTCGATCCTATAAAAACCCTGTTGCTGATACCATGAATTGTAGACGACAGAACCAAGACACAACAGAAGGCCAAGAATATAAAAACTCACTGGAAGATCCTAAGAGGTGAAGTCAAATAATTCGATTATGTTTCCAAATTTTATTTAAATTTAATAATTAATAACACCCCTTTTTATATATATATATTAATTTCTTCTTAGTACATTGATGATGATTCTTCAAGTATTTTTGTTTGTGCACAAACAATGATTAATTTTATATTAGGTGTCTGAATATTAGCAGTTTTATTCACCATCAATTTATCAATACACCAAACTATTTAAGTCGTCCTCATACTACAAAGAAAAATTATCAGAGTTTTCCTTCGTTCGTAAACTTATATATATATATATAGCGAACTTAAGATATGCAAGGTCGTTTAACAGAGAGAAAATGTTCGTGTTAATGATAAAGGAATGGCATATCTATTGATGTTCTTTATTAATGAAATGTGTTATTTTTCGTCTTTGCATATCCTACTGCTGTTAAAGATTACCAACCCGAGTATTTACGAAATTTACATACCTTTGTCGTAACTCTCAAGAAATAAGAGAAACTTCTCATCAAATAAAAAGTTTACAAAACTGAAAATAAATATATATATATGTTTGTGTTTGTTTGTAGTTAAGCACAAAGCTACACAAAGGGGCTATCTGTTCTCTGCCCACCATGGGTATCGAAACCCAGTTTCTAGCGTTGTAAGTCTGCAGACATACCGCTGTGCCACTGGGGGGCTTTATATTTAGTTTCAATATTATTAAGCATCATATGGATGAGAAACATACAAAACAATTTTTTTATTATAAATAAGAACAGTTAAAAGAGAAATCAAATCTGGAGTAAGGAAGATAAAGCTGATGGAAAATTACATAAAAAGCAATAAAAGAAAAAAAATTTCAATGTGGTACTGGAAAATAGAGAAATAAAATCCCAAATACTAGCCATTTGTTTTGTATATGCTTCTTTAACGAACATTTTACTTTTTATTTGTTTACACACACATTAGAAAAACGAAAACTATTTTCTCTACATTTCTTGCTCCAAAGTAGTTCATTAACTTTTTTAGCATGGGCTCGGTCCCTGGGACCGATCTTGTAACCATTTTGTGCTTGTTATTGTTTTTATGCTATAACTTTTAAATTAGTAAGCATAAGTTAACAAAATTTGGCAGATTATCAGTAAACATTACAATACACAAAATATCAATTTTTTTATTAAATCTTAAGGTTTGTAAAGCAATGTTTTTCTCATGTCTATTTTTTCTTTCCACATGTTGCCTATCCAACATGGAAAGTAATTTTCAAGTAATTTTCATTTTAAGATTAAAAATACTTTTAGGCATCAGAAAAATTTCAAATGTCACATGCAAAATCTTTATATTATACATTTATATATATCTATTATTTTTATCGTATTGACCTTTCAGCCATGCCTGGCTAACAATACAGAAGTTACAATTATTTTTCTTAAAACATAGAACAGTAAATAAAGAAGTAAAGCAAACAATAATCTCTTCTAGTTATAACCTTTGTACTCAGTTGCTGCTTGATGCAGGTTGCTAAGACTTCAAATTTCATTTGCGGAGGATATGAAACAAAATACTTTTTTTTTTAGGTTTTATATATTCAGTTGAATAACCAAAAAAATCATAAATTACTATATCAATACCACAGAATTCCACTATAATTCATCAAGCTTAGTAGCTAAACTGTATTTCAGTCTAAAAAAATATGAAATTTCAAGCAGACTAAAAACACAACTTACCTACTTCGAATCTTACTTTGAAAGAAAGAAATGGCATCCAAACACATTAAAATGGCTGAGAAAGCCACTGTGGGGAAATTCTAAGCTTTCAATTGGTTGTTCATGTCATATATAGAAGTGTATATAAGGGAGCATTTCCAAAAATGGCAAGAGGTGGTCGGGGTGCCACTGTGATTGATTTATAACATGAGCAATAGATGGAAATATATATTCACGCAAATAAAAAAGATTATAGGTTGTTATTTTATATTCTAGCTTGTCAATATTGGTAATTTGAGTTTCTATTTCATTAAAAACTATAGACTTAGTATTTTGACTTCACAAACATCTAATTTGAACCAGTGCTGCATTCAACATACCACGTGACACACAAAAATCAATGTTTAACAGTTTTTTTAAATTAAGAAAGGTATAATACTAAAATTTGAATTATAAGCTTTGATCCAAAACTTGCAGACAAATTCATGGAATAGTAGTTTAATAAAATTTTGAATGCAACTCAACAAACGCAATGACATGACCTTTCACCCATGACCCATCTGGAAAGGGTTAATAAAACATCCAAAGGAAATATAAACTTTTTATATCTTTATTTTCTAGTAACTGAACTGAATATTAAAGAAAGTGATACAACCAAATAAATAACTTCCATGTCCTGATTACATCTAAATGCACACAATATTCATTTTACCCTTCCCAGTGTGATTTCAACATATTATTTCTAAACAATTTCATCATTTTAGAACACATTACATCAAACTAACTACTATAATTTCTGAAAATTTTAGACATAAAAATACTTTCATTTTATTTATGGTGAACTTAGATTTTATAAACAGAAGTTAAATCAGTTATCAAATTAGACCTGGTTTTTAGAGACTGAGAATAAAAAAAAAACAATTTATAATTTGGTTAGATATGGCTAAAGATTTACAAAATATCGTTGATGTGCAAACTGAGTGTGAAATGCTAACACTGGATCTTGGCAAGTTAGATGTTCACTCAAATAAACAAATGGGGGGGGGGGGGGATGAGAAGAAGAAAGGAACCTTATACCATTGGAAAATATACTTTTATCTTAATACCACAGCTTAAATAACCTAGAATATTTTATCATAAGCTGTGTATAATACACATTTTTAAATTTCTATCACAGTATTCTAAGCCATACTATTCATTTCATGAAAGGCTACATTATTTTGTCTACTATGTTGAATACATTACATCCTGGTAACATCACTGGTAACCTAATGAAGGGCTATTGCCCAAAACATCATTTTCTTGTTTTACTAATAAAGTTATTCTAATTTGGCAAGTTTTTACCATTACTTTATATTGTATTTTGTTATTTCCTTGCCTACGCAATTATTTTACTTCTTGAACTACATTACATCCTCTTTAAGATATGCCTTTTCAATAAGTTGTGATCAAATAAGAAATATAATAATGATTATACTACATTAATTAAGTCTAAAATAATGAAACTGTATTTTTAAAATACACAGCTTGACAAAAAAATAAAACTTACATCGCTCTTGTTGATGATCGAGTAGCCCGTGTCTTCAATGTAGGGCTAGCTTGACTTGTCTTTACTGAGGACTGTAAAATTTAAGACATCATTTTAATGGTTTCTAAAGATACTTTAAAATAAAAGTTATTCTATTTGACATTCCAAGACCACAATTAATATTAGTGTTTAAATATGTATTGTCAAAAAATGTATTATGACTGCTGCACACATATTAGCATTCACAATAAATTAGCACTGTTACAGTGCAAGTATTGTGAGAATGCCTCTTTGACAAACAAAATACTATATTTTAATTCTGGAAAGAAAATTACACTTGGTAATAGTTCATAGTCAAGAAAGATGAAACCTAGATTCACAGTTTAACTGGGTAGGTGTTTGCTTAAGTAATTATATGATAAGCCTCTTAAAATATTTAAAATAACTTCTTTTCCATCTTAGTAATGAAAAATTGCCACTAAAAATTTATTTATTCTATTCCTGATAAATTACTTAAAGACTGACGTACTACTGTACAAGCAGTAACTACCAAGATGCAGGGTTTTCATTAGATACTGGGTGGATCACCTACCTATTATGGCTTATAACAGCTCATCTACCCAGCTTCTTTGGTTTTGAATATAATCTTTATATCAACATTTTTACTGAAGGAATCACTTTACCAGAAACTGTTTTTATAGTCTCTCTTTTCCTTTAAAAAAAGTTGTTTTAAAATAATTTCTAATGCTTTCAAATGACTGAAGAGCAAGGAAAATATAACTTATCTTGTACAACCATAAAAAGAGGTTCAGTACATTATATTAAAATGATTTTGGAGCCTGGCCACATTGTTACAGTCCATGTCTCCTTGCCCAATCTCGCTTTATCTAATTATCACATCTTGAGAATAGTCCTGCAGTAAATTTTTCATTGCAAAAGGCTTCAGTGTATAACTGTCATCAAACATACTGTTGGTGTGAACATGCTTTGTAGTCAGTATGAGAAAAACCTACACATTGGATAGGTGAAGTAAAGAAAAAGTGTCATTGGCCACTATTCAATTCTTCACATTATATGGCCACACAATATCAGTTATAATTAATAAACTTAGTATTCTAAAAAAGTGTTTAATCTTGAGGTCTAAGTTCAAGGGAGGTCCAGTAACACATGGTGATCAAAGTATAGATTGAACTGGACCTCCCTTGAACTTAGACTTCAAAATTAAATAATTTTTGGATTACTAAACTTATTTATTAGTACAACTGTCACATTCAAAGCACACTGCTCCAATGGTCTGATCACACATAAATCCATGGAGGAGTTGACTAGTATTTGTTCATATGGAATAGTACAAATACTCATTTCATTCTTAAGCTGCTTTGGATATGTCACATTTCCAGCTAAAGATCCTCCAATTATCTTACATATTGTTGATGTGGGTATATGAACAGCTTTTACCATTGACCATTGTGTTATTGAGTTCTCAAATGTTACAAAATTCAACACTTTTCTTACCACAGCTAGGGTATGACTTCTTGCAGGTTTCTTTCTGGATGGTCAAGATGACCTAAACTGATCCTTATTTCTTTGTTTTCAAATGCATTTAGGTACAAAGGATACCCACATCTTATAAATTTTAAATCCTCAGTCTGAACAAAGATTTTTGCTGTTAGGGTATGAATATTTTGTGTTGGAAAGAGTGGTTACATATCCTTTTCTAAAAGTGATACATATTTAGTGCATCAACTAACCATGCAACACGGAGCACTGCCAAATTGTAGTATTCACATGAATTGCTGATTTGCTTATTCAAAACCATTTTCATATCTTACTCAACCTTCTGTATTCCCATTAGATTGTCAGCCATATATGCTTAGTGCCTATTCTCTGCTCAGCCACACATAAGGAAATATAATTGTACTTTTAGTGAGTAAGTTAATAAATTGCATCATATACAAAAGACAAATATTTTCAAATTTGATGAATGGTTTCATCTACTTCACAGGGGCATTGTCAGAATGACGGAGGAGGGAACAAAGACGTGTATATATACACAAAAGGTATTGAAAACACTCATAGTGCAAATAAAGCTAATATATATATATATATATATATTAGTAAATTCATGCATTTATTTTCATGCTGACATATCTATTCATACTGTTGTTTGAAAAGAGGCAAGAGAATGCACAAAATAGTATTTCTGATAGGCATGCCCCTGAACCTTCTAGGAGGTTCATATCTAAAAGACTGATGTTGTACTTTCAGTCCAAGCTCTACTTCACATTTGCAGGTCTACCCACTTACCCATAAAGATAATGAAAACCTTATGGAAAAAGGTAAAATGATAAGATTGGCAAAGTGTATTGTTATGCCTGGTGTCAAGAAGTAGAAAAGTAGTGAAATCTTATTACTTCCTTCCTTTAAAAGAAGTGGATGAATAATGCACTAAACTAATTATAATAGTAACTAATACAGAGATGTAGGTCTGCCACTTTACAGTGAAATTACATGGGTTCCTCAGAGAAATTTATCTGGTTTGTACAAACTGATACATGTTTCTTATACAAATTTCACTTTTACTAAAATGTCCTTGTCCTAGTTTTAAAAAGAAATATCACGTTTTGTAGTGCAGCAAGCAATTTTCGATACTGGCAAAAAATGTAGTATACAAGTTAATTACCCAATCATAAATACACCAAACTGTACAACTTAAAATCCACTTTTTATCACAGAAAAACTGAAATATAAGTTTATTGTCTCACCAGAAACTAATGTCATTAATATCTATTAAAATACTGTCAATTTTTAATTATATCAGTTAAAAAGAAAAATAAGTTCTGTCTTTACATTCAATAATAATAGCTAATTACAAGTTAAAATATACAATGGCATTACAGTAAAATAAGATTAATCTTAAAATCAACTTACCTGAGCTTTCCTCCCTCTTCTACCTGTGGTTCAAAAAACAAAGCAAAAAAAAATTTTTTTTAAAACATAGCATACTTGTCAGTGCTTTTATTGAAAGTTGTATCAATGAAGTGCTAAATATATTAACCTCCTCTAAAGTATTGAAGTTTGAAATATAAAAGAAACCAGTTGTAACAGTAGAACCATATTTAAGTCAACAGTAACAGTACAAATGAAAAAAGTTAGTTTCAAACTTGTACAGTTTATCTACAAGTTGATATTAAACATATTTTTAAGTCTATCATAAGAATCAAAATTCACTAATCTATAAATGTACATGCATTTCTTGTATGGAAGAATATGTACTCTACTATTAGATGACTCTCAAATAGTATAAAATACTATATTATTAGGAAAATTCAAACTCATCATTTGTCGCAAAACATGCCTTAATAAAGTGTAAAATTCCAATTACTAATGAGAACTTTAAAATAATGAGAAGCAATTACAAATTTGAGTAAGTTTGATGATTATCTAAAGCCTGTATTCAATCAAATGTACTGAACCTTTCAAAATCATAAGCTTTACAAGAAGTATATACAGTGAAACCCCGATTTAACGCAAATTCGGATATAACGTGATGGGTCATTAACTCTTTCGACACGGGCTCAGTCTCTGTGACCAACCTCATTATAGTTTAC